GGCAGGAGAATTGCCTGAACCCGGGAGGCGGAGGTTGCGGTGAGCCGAGATCGCGCCATTGCACTCCAGCCTGGGTAACAAGCGCGAAACTCCGTCTCAAAAAAAAAAAACCCAGCATTTCTCCAGAGTATTTCTTTAAAAAAAAAAATCTTTATTTTGTACAGACTATATTCAAATAAACCACACACTCTGAAAACAGCAGGTTCTGGCTTTTCTTCCAGAGTATTTCTTACAAACACAAAGAGAAGTAAGGGTATATAAATGCAAAGATTAACTTTAGGATTTTTTCCCCCTTAAGTGAGAAATTTGTGTGGTGCGCTATGTTGTTCAAATTATTTTTATCTCAAATCATCTTATTGGATATCTATAATTAATGAGTTGAAGAAGGGGAGAGAAAGGGGAACCAAAATTTTTTAGCGTGGCTGTTTTGTTCCAGGCACTGTGCTAGACTGTTTATGCATTTTTTTTTTTTTTTAACTTGTTCAGTATAACAACCCTTTGAAACCTGTTTATAGGCAAGGAATCTGACTCACAGAGGTTAGTAATTTGCTGAAGATCATAGAATTAGATTTCAAAGCAGATCTCTTCCTAATGTATATGTGATGTTGCTTTTCAGATGTATTATTTTCTCAATTATTTAGAATGGGAAACTGCCTCAGATTGGTCATTCATTCATTTAAACATTCATTTCATCAAACATTTGCATTTGTATCAGTCTACATATAATACAGTAAATTACAACACACTAGATTGTGGGAGTTGAGAGGGAAGAAGCTATCTCTTCAAGGATGGGTAGGAGTTTGCTAGTTGGAGAGGAGGATAGACTGGAGGTCTTTCCAGACCTAGGGAATAACATGCAAAGATGATAAATTGTTATGAGCCTTGGAGAGTGAGGGAGAGTGAGAAATTCAGTGTGGTAGGAATTGATATGGATAGAATGGTGAGATAAATGATTGGAAGTAGGAAATTGTGTGGGACCATGTATGTTATATTAAGGTGTTTGCATTTTTATCTTGTGAGATCACCAAGTGAGGTAGTGGTTGAACTGTGATTAGAACTATGTTTTTGGACTCTAAGTCTTGTATTTCTTTCTCCTTGGCTTCTTGCCAACAGTCTACCTGTTTTTAGTGGATAGGCAAGCCTTCTTTTTCATACCACTCTTCTCTCCTCTGCCTGTATTCTAGACTTTTATCTTGAGGATTCTGTTGTCTAAATCTTTCTATTCAAGAACTTTTACTTTTTTAGGAAATTCTATTGAGATAAAAACACCTCTGGGGGAAATCACCTTGTTACACTACTTAGGAAGTTTTTTCACTTGTTTGTTTGGATTAGTTGACTATTTTCTAGTTTAGCAGTAAAAAGTTGTAGGTTAAGACGCTGAAGAGCGTGGGCTGCAAGGAGAAACTATTCATGCAGGTTTGACGTTCACCAGTATAGATGGGCAAAGTCTAATCTTTATATAAAGAATCTTGTACTTTCAATGCTTTTTTTTTTTTTTTTTTTTTTTTTTTNAAAAAAAAAAAAAAAAGCTGAAACTCTATACCCATTAAATGATAATTTCCCATTCCCTCCTTCCCTTACTCTTTGCAAGCACCATTCTACTATCTTTACAATTTTGACCACTTTCTAAATTCAGTTCATATAATTTGAATCATACAGCATTTGTCTTGTGGCCTATTTTACTTAGCATAATGTTCTCAAGGTTCGTTAATGTGGCACATTGCAGAATTTCCTTCTTTTTTAAGGCCAAATAATATTCCATTATATGGATATACCACATTTTGCTTATCCCTTTGTCTATGAGTAGATACTTACATTATTTCCATGTTTTAGCTATTGTGAATGATGCTGTTATGAACATGAGTGTACACATCTCTTAGAGAGCTTGCTTTTAGTTTTTTTGGTATATACCCAGAAGTGTAATTATTGGATCATATGGTAGTTTTCCTTCTTCTTCTTTCTTCCTTCTTCTTTCTTCTTCCTTCTTTCCCTCCTCCCCCCCTCCTCCTCCTCCCTCCTCCCTCCTCCCTTCTCCCTCCCCCCGCCTCTGAGATCTGGCTCTGTCTCCCAAGGTGGAGTGCAGTAGCATGGCACTGCAGCCTC